CTCTACCACTTGAGCCACAGCGCCACTTCCAGCTTTTTTCTTTTTGCTTATGTGGTGCTGGGGAATTGAACCCGGGCCTCAGGCATGCAAGGTAAGTGCTCTACCACTGAGCCACCTTCCCAGCCTCCCCCTGTGAAATTCTTATCTCCAATTAACCACCAGAAAACTGAAAGTGGCTCTGTGACTAAAAGCAGTAGAACACCAGCCTTGAGAGAAAAAGCTCAGGGATAGCACTTATGCCCTGAATTCAAGCCCTACAACCGACACCTGTCCCTTCCCCCTACTGCCCATCTCCTCCCCCCTCCCCCCCTGCAAAAAAAAAAAAGAATTTATTTTAGTGACATCTGTAAGTGCTGATAAAATTCTCAGAGAATTTTTTAATCAAGCCACTACTATTTAATCCCTCTACTAAAAGATGCTCTTTTTGTTGTTGTTGTTCTTTTGTTGGTCATGGGGCTTGAACTCTGGGCCTAGGCATTGTCTACCACTTGAGCCACAACACCACTTCTGGTTTTCTGAGTGGTTTATTGGAGATAAGAGTCTCATAGACTTTCCTGCCTGGGCTAGCTGTGAACCTTGATCAAACTCAGTTCTCAGCCTCCAGAGTAGCTATGATTACAGGCATGAGCCACTGGTGCCCGGCTGAAAGATGGTCTTTCTTATGATGTTTAAGTATTTCTTCCATTTAAATGAACAAGATTGACATTCTGTTACCTAGTATATTTCATACTGATAATGTAGTATGGTCTTTGATAATCTCATTAGGCCATTGAGGGACTTTTGTTCTAATCTTGCATTTTTCAGAAAGTTGAGCCCTTATTTCTAATTCATGTCCATCAGAATATAGGAGTAGTGGGTCTGGGAAAGTGGATCAGTGGTAGAGTGCTTCCTCACATGCCTAAGACCCTGGGTTCGATTCCTCAGCACTATATAAACAGAAAAAGCCAGAAATGGTGCTGTGGCTCAAGTGGTAGAGCACTAGCCCCGAGCTAAAGAGTTTAGGGACAGCGCCCAGGCCCAGAGTTCAAGCCCCATGACTTTAAAAAAAATGTGTGTGTGTGTATTAAATATAATATATATATATATATATATATATATGTATGAGTGGTTATTGTACTCTTTGTTATAATTCTTCAGTTTCTGTGAAGATCATATAATAGTTCTCCTGTCATAACATTACTTCAAATTTTTTGCTTTTTTTGTGCTTGTCCTGAGGCTTGAACTCAAGGCCTGATTACTGTCCCTGGGCTTTTTGTTCTCAAGACTAGCACTCTACCACTTGAATTGCAACTCCCTCATGGACTTCCATCTCAAGGTGGCTTTGAACCACAATCCGCAGATCTCAGCCTCCTTAGTACACACACACACACACACACACGCACGCACACACACACACACGTTCGGAGAGCTGGGGATGTGACACTGAAAGGTAGACACTGAAAAGTACCATAATAGTTAAAGGAATACTCATGGAGATTACCCATTTTAAATACAGTATTCAAGAATGAGAGGGGAGGGCTGGGAAGGTAGCTCAGTGGTAGAGCACTTGCCTTGCATGCTCGAGGCCCTGGGTTCGATTCCTCAGCACCACATAAGAAAAAAGCCAGAAGTGGCACTGTGGCTCAAGTGGCAGAGCGCTAGCCTTGAGCTGACGAGCTGAGGGATAGCGCCCAGGCCCAGAGTTCAGGCCCCATGACCGGACCCCAAAAAAAAAAAATGAGGGGGAAAAGAAGCAATTTTTATCGAGGGTAGTTATCAGTTTATGTGATTTTTATAAATTCTAGATGTTCTTCTGCATTTTTTGAGGAAGAGAGATCGGCATTAAAACAGAAGCGGCAAAAAATAAGGCTCTTACAACAAAGGAAAGTTGCAGATGTCTCACAGTTCAAAGACCTCCCAGATGAAATCCCTTTGCCTCTGGTTATTGGAACCAAGGTTACAGGTAAGCGAGGGCAACTTATTACTATTGTGACTTGTAATTTTTTTTGAGGGGGGTGGTGGTCATGGGGCTTAAACTCAGGGCCTGGGCATTTTCGCTCATGGCTAGTGCTCTAACACTTTGAGCCACAGCTCCATTTCTGGTTTTTAGATGGTTAATTGGAGATAAGAGTCCCATGGACTTCCTGCTTGGACTAGCTCTGAACCACAGTCCTTAGAACTCAGCCTCCTGAGTAGCTAGGATTACAGGCATGAGCCACCGGTGCCCGGCACAAAAAGTATATTGATTCAAAGTAACATTTACAGTTGTGAATGTGAATAAATATACCTTTGTGTGGTTTTAATTAAAACATCTTTCATCTCTCATTGCCACATTTGTTCCCCCAGCCTTATTTAAACTAGTTCAGTACCACTGTTCCTACTGCCTAGAAGTGTCTAGAAGTGGTCCATTTCTTTGTTTGAAATTGTGCCGATACAGGGACTTGATCTCAGAACCTTGCTTTTGTTTATTTGTTTGTTTTGCCAGTCCTGGGCTTGAACTCGGGGCTTGGGACTGTCCTTAAGCTTCTTTTGCTCAGGTTAGCGCTCTACCACTTGAGCCACCGTGCCACTTCTGGCTTTTTCTGTTTATGTGGTACTGAGGAATCGAACTCAGGTTGTCATGCATGCTAAGCAAGCACTCTACCACTGAGCCACCTTCCCAGCCCAGAACCTTGTGTTCTTTCTTAGTGTTTTCTGCTCAAGGTTGATGTTTTATTACTTGAGCCACATCTTCACTCTGGGCTAGTTGCTGGTTAGAGAAAAGAGTCTCTTGGTGTCTGCTTAGGCTCCCTTTGAACTATAATCCTTATATCTCAACCTCCTAAGTAGGTTTATAGGCATGAGCCACTGGTGCCCACTGTAGTATTATTATTCAATCTATATTTATATTGTCTTATGCTTTTGCTAAACAGATGAAGAGATTAGGAAAAATGTATACTAATATTTTTTTGATGATGCTTTGGTTTGAATTTAGATCCTTGCACTTTCCAGGCAGGTGCTTTATCAGGTGAGCCACACCCTAGTCCTTTTTAAGGTCTCATAGTTTGCCCTCTGTCTAGGTCTCCCACATGTCTGGGATCATAGGCATGCACAACCATGCTGGTTTGTTGATTAAGTTTTACCTAGACGAGCCCAAACTGCTCTCTTCCTGATCTCCACCTTCTGAGTATCAAAGATTTCAGGTGTATACTACTGTTAAGGCCCACAAGGGGTTTTTAAAACAATATTTCTTCCCAAGAGGTCCGCTAATAACAAATTCCCTCCACGTGTGTTTATCTGGGAATGTCTTCATTTCTCTTGCTTTTTTAGGGGAGTGAATTTGAGACATAGGGTCTTTCCAGCTAGCTTTCTAGCTCCAGCTAGCCCTCAATTCCAACTCAAGATCTTTCTCAGCCTCTAAGGCAGGAATCAGAGGAACACACCACCATGTTTAACTTCTTTTCTAGTTTTGGAAGGGTTGCTTGTTTTTTGGTTGCTCTTTTAGGTTTGTCAAATACCCCACTGCATTGGATGGACCTTTATTGTTTCTGATGATTGATTCTGCTAAGGTGTACCTATTACTTGTGCTGCTCTTTTCCTCTGTCATGAATCATTTTTTCCTCTTGCAGATTTCAATATTCTCTATCCTTACATTTCAGAAATTTGATATATCTAACTATGCTCACTGCTTATGGTTCATTGAGTTTCTTGGATCTTAGATTAGTGAATTTTCTTGTGCTATAATAGAGTACTTAAGGCTGGAAACTTTTTTTTCTTTTCTTTTTTTTTTTTTTTTTTTGTCGGTCCTAGGGCCTGAACTCTAGGCCTGGGAGCTGTCCCTTATCTCTTCAGCTCAAGGCTAGCGCTCTACCACTTGAGCCACAGCACCACTTCCAGCTTTTTCTGCTTATGTGGTGCTGAGGAATCGAACCCAGGGACTCGTGAATGCAAGGCAAGCGCTCTACCACTGAGCCACCTTCCCAGCCCCAAGGCTGGAAACTTGGTAAAAGAAAAATAGACTTAAAAGCCAGGCACCATAGCCGGGCACTGGTGGCTTAAACCTGTAATCCTAGCTATTCAGGAGGCTGAGATCTGAGGATCACGGTTCAAAGCCAGCCTGGGCAAGAAAATCTGTGAGACTTTTATTGCCAATTAACAAACCAAAAAACCCAAAGTGGCGCTGTGGCTCAAATAGTAGAGCACTCGCCTTGAGCTGAAGAGCTCAGAGACGGCTCCAAGGCCCAGAGTTCAAGCCGCCATGACCTAAGAAAAAGCCAGGCACCAGTGTCTCACACTATTCCTAGCTACTCAGGAGGCTGAGATCTAAGAATTCCTAGCTACTCAGGAGACTGAGATCTAAGAATTTGAAGCCAGCCCAGGCAGAAAAGTTTATGAGATTTTAATCTCCACTAAATCAACAAAAAGCTGGAAGTGAAGCTGTGGCTCAAGTGGTAGATAGAGGTCTAGCCTAGCTAAAGAAGCTCAGGGGAAGCACCCAAGGCCCTGAATTCAAGCCCTAGGAGGCTAAATAAATAAATAAAAATCAGAAGTGAAGGTGAAGTTGTAGAGCTCCAGCTACAAGCGGAACAGCGGAGTGAGAACATAGGGCTGCCATCCCAACCCCCCTTTCTTTCCTTCTTTTTTCCCCCTGGGTACCAAACTCAGGATCTATGCTTGCTAGGTAGGCACTCAGTGACTTGAGTCTACCTCCTTTATCCTGTTGATTTCTCTTCAGTCTTTTTTTTTGGTTTGTTTCTTGGGGTTGGGTAATTTCTACTTGTTAATTTTGAATATATCAGTATAGAAATCTTTCCCTCAAAAAGCAAAAGTAGATGAGTGGAATTATAGCAAACTATACAATAGACAGATGCAACAATTTATAGAATGGGAAAAATGTTTTCAGATATAACTGATAAAATATAAGGGGTGCTGGGAAGGTGGCTCAGTGGTAGAGCGCTTGCCTTGCATGCATGAGGCCCTGGGTTCGATTCCTCAGCACCACATAAGCAGAAAAAGCTGGAAG